TATCTGCATAAACACGTGATCAGTGGTCTCGGTCAAAAATTTCGACAACGCTAAGGAAGTGTCCTGCCCACGCGGCATGGGTTGCTAGTTTCGATTTTTAGCCCACCCTTTAGACGGTTATCGAATGCTCCCGCATTCGTGTTTGGAGATGTCAACCGGTCTCCCTGAAGTAGTTGCACTTCTCACAATTTCATTGAAGTCGGTAGACATCGGCCGGCATCTCCTGGTTAGGGATGGAGCGGTTGGTCATATTACTTGGTGGTGTGTTGATGAGCAATATTTGTGAGCAAATTATATTCCAACTTGCTCTGCGTTTCAGCCATGGCTTCGGAGGCGCCCTCCCCATTCGGGATGTTCTGTCGTAGGTTCTTCTCACTGCACTCTTCATTCTGCATTTTTATACCATACTACTCATTCCAAAGATGTTGACGCTGCGTTCCGACTAGCTCTCGGGGTTCTCATGTTGTCTTATTCGGCGGCTGGCATGTTTCATCAGCCGGTATAACCTGCACACATGGCTTCGTGTGTGCTGCAGTCACTGACTGCTGTTATGAGCAATCTGTGCGTTTGGAAGGATGAATTTGAGGATGTGAGCCCAAGAACTTCAAGCGTATGATCTGACAATCTCTGTCTGCTATGAAAGACTACGGCCCATGTTGCACTGATGTAATGAGCTTCCGAACCCATCCTCAGCTCATCTTTGTGCTTGGCAGTCTAATAAACAATCGAAGTTTGGATTTCAGGGGGATTTTACACGCAAAGGTTATCTTTATTAAATTCAGTGCTTGGCCCTATGATCGCCACAACGGGTTGTGGTATAGATGCGCTGGATCAAAACGCGGGCAGGATTCACTCATGGTGTACAGTAAAGGGGCAGAAAATAATCTGGTTCAGCCCTAAACTACCGGCGTGCATAGGAGAGGTGTGATATGACGTTTAGAAATAGACCTTCACGCACCGAATCCCAATAACAGCTGGTTGGCAGTCTTGACAGTCGACTGATCCGCGGGAAAGAGCGTAAGACCGATGCTTGGGAATCCATTCTCAAGGCACATAAACGCTTGTCTCCCTCTAGTAAATCTGACGCTCTTGAACCTATCAGACTGAGCTGAAAGTCATGGACTCGGAAGGCCGTCAAATGACAGGATACTTCGGCACTCCTCAGGACTTAGAGCTACTTCACTGCCGTTGTCACGAAGGCCTAGTTTAGGCAGTGGAGGGCGGGTTGTGTGCGGTACGCGTAGGCGTGCGCGTATTTCGACTGCGGGGACCCTGATCACACACCTGAAGCGCCTGGTAAAAGTAAGTAGCACCATCCCCTCACGCAGTTAGTTGGGATCGCAATCAGAAACGTGGGCTTTTGTGACTGGCCGTCTCCAAGCCTACAGGTGAACATGTCTCGGAGTGAAAGGATTAGTTGTTGGGGGCCACGAAAGTACGGCATAGCTGCTTCCCTGGCCCTTGGCCTAGGTCGGCCTTTGGTGATGATGGACGTACCCCTCTGTAGTCCAATAAGCGCTCTGTTCACCCTCGCCGACAGTGACTTCAGACTGGAGGAATCGCTGATCTTGAGGCGCAATCTACCACTGACATCGCCGTTTTGGTAGTCTGCCTTTTAGAGGACAACGACTGAGTGGCCTTTCTATGCAGGCAGAATAATAATTTCATTGTGGACATCTAACTTACTAAGCGCATCTTCTGTCCTTCTCAGTAGCAAACGAAGTTTTCGACGCAACATGAGCAGCGCGGTGACTTACTGCCAAAGAAGGCCTTATGCCTCGTCTGTGACGGGAATTCGGCGTATCAGTGACTTAAAAAACAGTGAAGGCAACCAGATCAGCATCGGTCGAAGACGCTTCAAGGAGAGGTCATGTACTAACCATTGTTCAGACGTGGGAGCATGCATGGCCTGGAATGTCCTAAAATTAACTGATTTGTCCGCATGACTGCGTCATCCCAGGGCTACCAAGGTGTTCTCCTGTGTGGCGACAGTCACCTCACCACAGTAATGTATAACGTGTATCCTGGGGTTTTAAATACTAAATATCTCTTTCTTTAGTTAGAGATGAGAGTCTGGCAGTAATACACTCATCATTTGTCTTTCATGCCGGATCTTCTTTTGCCTCGCCAATTCCAATTGATCAGAGGCAGGAAGGGGAGGCAGCTTGACGCGGAATAGTTGGTCAGGCATCCATTAAAGAAACACAGCTGTGTATACATCAACACCTGCAGAAGACTGTTTTCGCCCAAAGACGAGTCCGAAATTCGGGTCAATTGTGGCGAAAATACGATTAACAGGCCGCATGCGCGATGCATTTCTATGGGGGTTTGAAGTCTCACGAGCAATTTTTGGAAACCGACCTGTGGCACTGATTGCTTGAATAAATGATGAAAAGAGATTGATATATTTCACGTTAGAGAATATCACACTTGCAGCACAGGTACTAACTGAAAGTCCACACACGCGTGTTTCGCCAATATTCTGCCGCTTTGAGGGATCCGGCTCTTTGATGGGTCTCCCAGCATTCCTGATGGGCTTTCCGAAAATGATCGATTTTTAGTTTTACTAGAAATAAACTGCTAACTTGGAATACTGAGGGACCAACTGACGAGCCGAACCCCTCAAAGCATTGCCACGCAGCGACAGGATATCGAAGAAACACGCCTGTCTGGGCTTCCAGCTAGTACCTGTGCTGAGAGAATTGGTATCTTTTAGCGTCAAAACCTACCACTTGCTGCGTGTTGACAGTTATTATGCGGTCGCCCTGCCGCGGAGGATGGGCATCGGCTCTAATTTTCGTGCATACAATTCTCGGTCTGAACCTGTAGACCCTAGTATAAACCGACGTACTCCAAGTTGGCAGTTAATTTCTAAGGAAATGAAAGGGTGACAGTAGCTTGATACTTTCTGTGGAAAGGGATTTTTCTAAATAATAGTAGGTGCTTGTCATAGCATTTCACATTTTGAGACTGTACGGAGGAACTATCAGAGACGGCTAAATCCTCAGTGAGGTGATAAAATACTCTAGTGCGTTTTAAATGTCGTTCAGGTAAAGTGATACTGCGCAGAGGTCTTAATTTAACAAGAAATTTATTGGCCTGACGTTTCGGATTCTCACTCGAATCCATCATCGGAGAAAGTCGCAGATAAGGGTAATAGTAGCACAGGGAGCGCAGTATTTATAGCACGTGGCTGCCGTGAGACTATACGCTCACTGTAAGTAACAGCTCTCGTAATCACCGCTGGGGTCGTATTTGATGCGCTGGTGGCTTGTCAGTCTGCGTCCGAGTCGTCAATGGCCGTGATTTCGTCATCCGTGTTGGATGCTGGTGTGGCGATTACTGGGCAAATTGGCTCACCGTTCCTGGGATAATTATTCGCCCTCGCCCTCCACAAGCGAGTGATTTTCCTGCCCAGTGAATATCTTAGCACGAAATACGGTAACGGAAGATCATTGCGCTTCTTGATGGATTGCGGGCCTGGGAACCATGACTGGAGCAGCTCGTGGCTCACGCGGTTGTCACCCCTTGCGAGGGTTTCGGCCTCTTGAAACTTGAAAATATGGCCGGGTCCCGTCGAATGAGCCGCCACCTGAGAGCTAGCGTCTCCCCGCCTAACTGCTGCTGCGTGCTCGGCAATTCGCGTACGGAGTAATCTCCCAATTTCCCGACATAGCTGCTTTGTCCGCGACTACACCAGATCCGGTAAACGACTCCAGACGTTTCCTGCCGTGGCAGCGGGTCTTTTGGCCTCATGACTTGGCGCCTAATGGTTGCTTCCGGCCTGTAAGCAACCCCAAGTCCAAGTGGAGTGAGAAGACGACTGACGGCTTCCGAGACGTTCTTCACTTACGGAAGAGCCCGCCAAAATTTGGGGCCGGTTGGATTTGGTCTCCGGTGTCCTTTTCGTATGCACTGGTTGACAAAGTTGCGCGGGTAACCATTGGCTCTCAGTACCCGTCAAAGATATTTTAATTCAGAAAACTCGTCTTCCATTTCGCTGCAGTGCCTCTCACCTGCCCTTACGCAACTGCGTTTGTGACTGATCGGGTGGTTGCTATTGAAGTTCAGTATTTGCATCGTATTTGTCACTTTCCTGAACACTTTGGTTTTTAGACCACCACAATCTTTGCGGCAGACGAGGACATCCAGGAAGGCCAGCTGGTTGTTCTCTTCCTCCTCCACCGTAAATTGAATGTCCGGGAAGACGGCGTTGAGATGTACTTTGAATGTCAGCACTTGACCTCGTTCGATGACAACGAAGGTATCATCCACATACCGAGCCGAGAATTTCGGTCTGTGGTGTTGGAAAACCAGCGACTCCAGTCGTTGTAGGACAGCCTCGGCTGTGAGCCCCGAAATCGGCGAAACCAGTGGTGTGCCCTTTCACCTGCTTGTAGATTGTTCCGTTGAACGTAAAGTACGTCTTGAGACAGAAGTCCAAGGGTTGGATGATGTGGGCGTGTCCGAGACGATTCTCCGTTTCGGTGTATTTCTGTCGTAGGTGTAGTTCGATTGTCTCCACTGCCAGTTCCTGCGAGATAGAAGTGAAAAGGGAAGTGACATCAAAAGAAACCATGATATCGCTTGGCAAGAGACTTACTCCTTTAGGTCCCTCCAAGAATTGAGTTGATGAGCCGACTGTGGTGTTCGAATCGGAGGTCAGAAACTTGAGACGTCGAAACAGCCACTTTGCCGGTCCATACGTTGGAGTTCCATTTAGTGATACGATAGGCCGGAGAGGAGCGCCCTGTTTGCGTACTTTTGGGAGACCGTGGAATCAAGCTAGGGCCGTTTCTTGGGCTTTCGCCATGCGTCGGTCGACTGGCGATATTGCACCTGAGTTCTCCATTGCCAAAAGTGTCGCGTTAATCTTGCGATTCAGCGTTTTTATGGGGTTAGATTCGCATGAGACATAGAACTGACGACCCTCCAACAAACGTTTCGCTTTCTGGTTGTAGTCTGTCTTGTCCAACACGACCGTGGAACGCCCCTTGTCCTCAGGCACGATAACGAGGTCGTTGTCGTCCCTGCGTTCTTTCAGTGCATCGCGCTCGACCTTGAAAAACGTCGCGCGGTCTATGAGCCATCAGGAGGAAGGACACTTGGTGTCGAATGAGGTTCTTCGTTTTGTCTGTCGCTTCCTTCTGGTTGAGGATTGATTCCACTGCTGCAATCATAATGTAGGGTTTGGCGTCGGCTATGTTGAATGAGGCCTCATGCCGTAAAACCTGCATTTGTTCCTTCGTCAGCTCCTTTGACGACAAGTTGTCCACCAGTTTGTCGTTCTTGGATGAAGTTGGAGCAGGCAGCTTACGAAATTTGCTCTCTTGGGCTGCTTCTCGCGTTGCTTTATGTTCGCGGGTTCGTTCGGCCAGCCTCTGCTGAAGCAGTTTTATGCCGTCCTCGCCCATGAACTCGCAGCACCTTGCTTTCTCTTGGTCAATCCTCTGAGGGTATTTGTGAATCCCTGAGTGACAGTCTTGAAGGAGCACGCAGATTATTCGTCAGCCGTGCTAAAGTGCTGCGCGTCTCGCCAGATCTGTGTTAACCGGAGGTTTGTGTAAAACACACTTCGACAGCACATTGTTGTCGTGACACCTGTGCAGAAATCGAATGTGCGCTTATCTACACGACTCTCGAAGAGCACAGGTTTCCCACCGTCGAGCCGATCGGAGCGTTTCGCGCCCAACAAGACTGCTGATAGAAGCGAACAGGCGAGTTCCAGTTAGCAGTTCGGAAGACGAAGATGCGATCACTGGAACAAGAAATTTATTGGCCTGACGTTTCGGATTCTCACTCGAATCCATCATCAGAGACAGCCGCAGGTAAGACTAATGGTGGCACAAGGAGCGCAGTGTTTATAGCACGTGGCTGCCGTGGGACCATATGAGCTGCTAACTGCAGTACGCATACGGTCCCACGGCAGCCACATGCTATAAATACTGCACTCCTGGTGCCACCATCACCTCTATCTGCGAATATCTCTGGTGATGGATTTGAGTGAGAATCCGAAACGTCAGGTCAATAAATTTATTGTTCTAGTAATCGCATCTCTGTCTTCGAAACTGCTACCTGGAACTCGCCTGTTCGCTTCTATCTTAATTTTACATCGTTTGTTACAAAAATGGGAAGAAGGAGGAGAAGGGAGAAAAGGTGAAAAATTCGCTTTATTTTGAAATAATAAATTCAAAATTTTAAGGAAAAATTGGCTCTATGCACCATGGGCAGTAAACAAGTTAATAGATTACTGAAGAGTTAAAATGTTTAACACAAAAGGGACGATTATTATTGGAAGAGTTCAAGTCTTAGCTTCTGTATTTCTATCCCTTCAAACGTAAGATAGCACGCCAGGAATTGCAATACAGAAGCTCGAAAAGCCGATGTGCTACAAGACATAAGTCGGAAACGGCGTCGCATCGGGCGGGATGACTTCGCAGAAATAAGATCAGAATGCAAGGGATGGGCAACGTCATCTATAATACGGCCAGCGAATTGCTTGACCATATTGAAGTGTCGTTGTAGGATAGTGTCGACTAAAAAAGATAAGAAACACCAACGGCAGAAGAGAGCATTCGGAGGACTCGTTTTAAAATTGAAAGATCTTGTTTGAGCAAAGCAGGAAAAAAGACAGGAGAGCAGTATAGGATAAGAGGAAGAATGCAGGCATCGATGAATCGCCAGACTAAGGGTTAAGGTGTGTGGTAGGAGCGCAAACGACGAATGAAATAAAGAAGTTTACGAACTTTAGTAAATAGGGACTCAATATGGAGGGAAAATGAAAGATTTGAGAACAAAGTAACGCCGAGGTACCTGAAAGAGGATACCTCGTTAGGAAGGATGCCAGAGGATTCAGGACTAGAAGAGGGCCGCAGTAGGAAAATACACTAAACGGATTTTTGGTTGTTCATCAGTAGACCATGTTCCTCCGACCATACTAGGACGTAGTTTAGGCCATCCTTTAGAGACTGGATTTGTGTCTGACTTTTTAGAGGGTATCCAACAACTACATCATCAGCATAATTAACTAAAAGATAGTTATTAGGGAACCTTAGATCGTCGGTGTGGAGGGATAAAAGGTGAGGGTATAGAATGGAACCTCGAAGAACTCCGCGGTCATTGAGAAGGACCATAGATTTCCGCTTTCCAGATTGGACAAATTGAGTGCATTAAAATAGGGTTTATCTGACAACAACGAGATTTAAGAAGAAAAGACGAGACATTATCAGGTCTGGCAGCTGTTTATCCACGGACCTTTTTAAGATGTTTCTCTACTGTTGTCACAGATACGGGTTGAAAGGCACATGGTGATAGGGGAATATCATCTGAGGGATGATGGGAGTCATTGTGATTAAAGATAAAATTTTTATTCAAGGAGTCTAAGTCAGCATGTACCAATGTGTTGCAATGGCCAGTAAGACGCTTACGATTCTTTCAAATTGCAGCAGAGGAAGGGTGGGAAGGGGAAGGGAGGAAGAAGAGGTAAAAAATGGTTAACAAACAGGCTATTTAGCCTGTCAATGTGTGTTTTTATTAAGACAGTAACGTCGTTAAGGCTGTCACGGAAGTGTAGTTTGTAAAGGAGTTCCTTTTTTAGTCTCAAGAATTTCAGATAGGGGGAAGAAATTCTCTCCGGTCGTTCCATTACAGTTTGATAGTGTGCAATGTGATCTGACAGTTCGACTGTCGCATCCGGCTAGGTCCTCCGTATGCTCCACAGCAAGGTGAATTAGGCACGGCGACCTAACAGGAAGTATAGACTTTCGCTGAATCTACCGGACTCTCTTCTCTTCCCCCCCACCTGAATCCGCAGTCGAGGCAAAGTCAAGAAGACTGGAGGTGAGGATGGCGCGAAAGGTTGGCACGATCGGACCAACATTTAGACGTGACACCACACCCCCTGGTTCATAACAGATACTAGACAAGGTTATTAATGCACAACAACAGCACGAAAACTGTTTAGGAGGACAACGATGACTGAGCAGTCATGCTTATGATCTTTATACTCAGCGACAGCACAAGTGCATCTACCGGCAGAGAACCAGAAGACATAAAACTGCCAATGCACACCAGACTGCAAGGGTCACGGCTTGCCGATCCTGTCAATAACAGACGCCCACAGATTTACTGTGCAAATGATTATAGACCTGCGATAGAAGCAAATTGGAAGTCCAATTTTAAAGTAGACAGTCTCGGCTTGGGATTAGGACTGTTGGTTCATGCTTTATCTTTGTTTTGGTGAGACATTTAAATAGTCAAATAGCTTATTAAATTACTGGATACTTCTTTTATCGTAAAATAACGTGGATAATTTGAAGTCTACACGGCACGTCCGTCAACATTTGTTCCATACTTCCGGACCTTCCCTCATATGCCAATTATTCTGTCATAAGCAAACTAAACTTTTGGAAATCCCATGCGTATGCCTATGGGATGCTCTTTTTTAGATGATTTCAACAAACCACTAACAGCTCGTTTTGCCTGCCCGAACGCATTTGCCGAGGAAACTGGCATGCATCTACTGTGGAAAGAAATTCACTTTAAAATATGTTTATCGCAGATGCTTGTTAGGGGCCGAGGTATTTTTTTCACTGATTTATATCATGGCGCAACTTCTAGTACTTCAGTTTAGGAGTGCTTGCCAATGCAACCCAGATCTACAACGTTAAGTTCTGTGATTCTGAAAAGAATATCCTGAAAAGCAAACCGATAAGTGTCTTAATAATCGAATGAAGTCGGGCGTCATCAGTCTACAATGAACGGGACGAAAGAATCTGCGCGATGAGGTGTAACACAGTCATACTCCGAAGCAGTCGCCGTTCTTAAATAAATCTCTTCCTTCTATTCAAAAGTTACAACAAAAATTATCACCAGTTTGTCGAGTGACGAACTCCTCTGCGCGGACTGTTGGCTGCGTGTACGCAAATTTACGACAGAAGTGGAACTCACAGAAAGATCTTCCGAATCAAATCAAGCATCGAATATCTCAGGAAATAATTAGACCGATGAGTGGCTACTTCCGATGGGTCAGCCATTTTATTTGGCATGCACAAAGATTCTTTTCGGTTAAGTTTGATCCAGATAGCCGGTTAGAGGCCAAGGCACGTTTTCAATGTTTTTTCATAACGCATCTCCGAATGGTTCTGTTTGACCGTGCTCAATATTGTAACTCGTATTTGCAACGTAAGCTTGATGATTTCGAGCGGAATATTATGTAGCTAAATCCTCGGATTTCCACTTCCAGATATCCCACATAATAAATGCAGGGTTAATAGTCTTTGAAAGCACAAACTGCTTAGCTATAGTGATGGGGTTTTACAGTGAGTGCTCGATCTCATGAAATGTTTGCTGAAATTATGAGATACGTTTTTGATTAGGAAGGATTACTTAAGGGCCGTTGTAATACTGATTATCTGCACCTTGTAGACTGAAATCACTAAGCGCTAATGCAACGACTGATCAGGCCCCAAAGTATTTTGCAATTGAAAAACTTTTTAAAAGATGACGTGATTTTCCACCAAATGACTAAAAGAAAGCATACTTTTGTTCGGGGTTTCTAGAAAACATATTTTAATTTGTACGACCATCGAAAACCAATGGGAAAAACTCATGCTACTTCAGTAGTCATTTTTTACCATGTACGGTTTCCATGGGAGTTTGAAGAACAGTGTATTCAAAAGTTGGCATCCTATTCAGTCCGAAATATTGTAGGATTATGTCGCAAGATCATCAATATTTCAACCGCCCTTAAGTAATCCTTCCTAACCAAAAACGTATCTCATAATTTCAGCCAACATTTCATGAGATCGGTCATTCACTGTATGTCTGGGGAATACACGACGTTTGCGGATTCTCAAATCCTTCAGTTTTACTAGGCATCCAACGAGAAGACAATCAAACAGGACGTTTCTATCATCTCGTATAACCAGGCACCTTAAGGGGTAGCGATAAAAGAGCGACAAGCAATGTCGTCCCCTCAGTTTGTTACATTTTATAAGAGAACGATTCCGCCTACCACTTCTAAAAAAACCTCGATTCCCTTCGACCGGCGGGCTCTCAGTGTATATTCTTCCTTTCAGTTCGCTCAGAAATGACTCCAATGGGGTACACCTGTGACAAAAATTGCCGGTTTGCTTAGATAAGTGCACCCCAGTCATAGTCCACCACATGTATTCTGCTTCGTTGCGAGCAAACAACGAAGCAGAACTTTGCAGGCAGGGGAAGGCGAGTAAGACACTCGGCAGACAATATGTTTGCTAACGTTACTAACTCACGCCCGATCCTAACAGCGCAAGTGCTGTCACATCCGCGGCGCTTCCAGTCCGACATGTGCGAGCCTCTGCGCAGACGAATGAAGTAGGTCACCAGAGAGATCAGACGCCCCCCCCCCCAGTCACCAGCGTGGGAGCCAGCA